TCACTACGCACGACTGAAGTTTATAACCGTAGCAACAGACCCCAGATGAGCTCAGCCGCTCTGCGGCTCTTTTTTACATATTTCCCATCCCGGAGCATAGGTCCTATACACCCCATGTATGTGTATAGGATATCTATGGTGCATCGTAAGTTCGTAACCCTTTTATTATTGGTAGTCACAATAATTTCCTATTGCTACACAGCTTGTGTGCAAACAGCCTCCGTGCGGCAGTGGTGGCGGCACCGTAGTCTGGCACCACTCTGCGATACCACGCCACGATGCCTTCATGAACGCTGGCACCTTAGCGTTAGTTCCCATCTCGAACAACTGATCGCTAAATCACCCTGCCGTTTGGCGACAAGCGCTTAGAGTATTATTAAGTTCGTTGACTTGTCCAAATCCTATGGCTATGAATAACAGCACAGCACAGCAGTGCAATACACATATATTCACGCACATACCAAATCTAACAGCTACAATGTAGTGAAAAGCACAGTAATTTTACAGTTGGGCGGAGATTAAGTTCAGGAGACCCCGTCTTGCAAACATGCCCAGTTCCGGAGACCACCTCTTGCAAACATGTCCAGTTCCGGAGACCCCCATTTTGATGTGCTGAGTTTTTAATAATGAGCTGAACTTTTAAATAATGAATACAATTACAAATTAGCCTAGTAAATGCTATTATTAGATGAATGTTTGCTAACAATCACTGTATTTGACATTGTCTAGTGAAAATGAGATGAACTTTGACTAACAAGAGATGTTTAAATGTGGGGTTATCATTCAATGTGATCTTGACACTGAACTATAGGGTTGGTTCGTGGGCTGCAACGGATTAAGGAAATGGGGATGGATTGGACACACCTCAAGGAAACTACCAAGTAACATCACTAGGCAACCACTAAAGTGGATCCCCCAAGGGAAAAGAACACCTTAATCTAAGGGGCACCATAAAAACACCTATATGAGAGATCTTGGAAGTGAGATGAGGGCAATTGGCCACAACTAGAATGCCCTAGGTGGAGAGATTGGCACAAAATGGAATCAGGTGCAGGAGAGAAGACATCAATGGCCTATGCTTCAGACAGGAGCGAAGAGCTTAGTCCTCATCATTTATCATGGTCACTGCAGTGTGTCTAGGCCTCTACCGATGTATACCACAGAACATGTCTTTTGTGTGTATACCTATAGCACAAGAAGGTGGCTAAAACTATGTAGATGTGTATTTATGGGTAAATTGGTTAACATTCCTTTCAGATACAACTTGGGGCTCCTTGTAGATTGCTCCGATTCTTGTCTGCTGACCTTCAAGTACGCAGGAGAAGACACAAGTGATGGCAGCTCCGACACCGAAGAAGCAATTTCCGTAAAAATTTTTAGTATATTCCTCGAATGCTACTCTTCAATTATTTAGCTATATCTTCATTTGGTTGAGGCAGTTTTAAACGAAAATGAATATAAATCTTCACATTGCTTTTGACATTCTGCATTAACCAGGGTTTTATATGTTTTAGTATTGTGCCAAAGATTGTCAATGCTGGCATTGCTGGTGTGGTTGGTGTCAGCTGTGTATTTCCAATTGACCTGGTAAAGACTCGTCTACAGAATCAACAAATTGGACCAAATGGGGAACGCATGTACAAGAGCATGTATGAAAACCTATTTACCTTATTATATTATATATTCCATTAATGCAAACTTCAGAAAACGTTCATATGCCTCCAAACTGCCAAGTTAATTTTGCTGGCCATATAAAATTACTGTGAAGGTAATAACGGAAAAATCCAAGCCTAATTATGAAATCTATTGCAGTAAAACCCCATGTTACCTAAATAATGCAGCACTCTAGAAAAAAGTTCTTATTGTGAAAATCTATTATGTTCATACATTAAAAATAATTACGCTTTCCTATTGACTTCCATTATATAATTGGAGACCCATTCTTATGGAAAATGGTTCAGCTAAAATATGTACTAGAAGAATAATTGCGAATAAGAGTAACAATTTTTAACCACATATATCGATTATTTAAAAAAGTTACACAATATAAACATAATACTTGTAGGCAGAAGAAGTTCAGTTTTAAAATGATTGCAAGGGCACCTGAGACTCAGAGGTGCATGGTTATCAGCTGACTCACTTTCATTATCATTATCATTGTTGGGTTAGGGTGTTACAGCTTCAGGACTTGCAGGCTTAAAGTTATCTCAAGTTGATTGCTGTTTAGTGTGTGTGGATTTTCTCTTTGTACTAAACCCTGTAGCAGCTGTGACTGCCTCTTAAAATAACCTGTACCTGGAATATACTAGATGCTCGGGGGGGGGGGCTGATTGCAGGAATATGCACATATTGCACATTTCATAATCAGTCCACATATAGGTTAAACTTTCTAATGTAATGGCAGTGGATTACGCTGGGGATTAACCTAACGTGTCGGTTGCTGGTTGAATATTACTCAAGTCTTATTAATGGTGATTCAACATGCCATTTTTGAGTCAAAAATCCCACTCATTTTTTTGAAAAGAGTATGTAAGAGAACATTTGTTTCGTTTCGTATCACAAGTAGTATTGTCATAATTTACAAATTACACGTGTGCGAATTTAAGTAACCCATGTTATTGTAATTCAGCGTATTACTGTAGAGTGGTATTGTTTGTCTTTTATGGTCCATTGCAGTTCTATACCACACAGTCTCTCAGTAATTACTAGCTAATTTCACACACGTGGTGTAACATTATTTTAAAATATTCCCAAAATGGTTTCTAGGCCTGCAACTTCAGTGTTTATTTATTATAGTAATATGCAAAGGATTGTCTTAATGTAATGTAAATGCAATGTTTATCCCATAAGTTCATTGTATCCTATGTGTGGTATAATTGATTGTTGATGTAGCATATATACTTGCAGTAAAATGTGAAGTAAATGTTTGATGTGAAAAGATGGAGTAGCAGGACATTCTGTGTGGTCACACATGATACTTAATCGTCATCTTGCTTCTCATTTGTATTTTCCCAGGCTTGACTGTGGAAAGAAGGTATTCAAAGCAGAGGGCTTCCTGGGAATGTACAGAGGTACTGCTGCTACATGCAAAAAGATTACTTACATTATGTTTATAATAGGGAATCTGAAAATTTATTCCTGATGAGGTACCCGTGTGTAAGTAGACTTTAACTAAATTTGCTAGATATGTTCAGTGATTGAATTTTCACATTTTCCTAAGACCATTTTAAATTGGACTTCTAAATTGTGACACCGACATCTTCCATACGTCTCCTTATGTTTAGACTTTATAAATATTAATTCATCCTATGAGCCTTTTGCAAGTTCAACTGAACGATGATTGCATTAAATTTTGTTCTACCATAGCAACAACTCGGGGGTTGTAATATGCGTGATAATATATATCTGATATATGCAGCGTTATTTTCTTGTATTTACCAGGTTGCGCAGTGAATGCATTGCTTATAACTCCAGAAAAAGCCATTAAATTAGTAGTAAATGATTTAATGAGGCACAAGCTTAGCAAAGATGGGTAAGTTTCAAGTTAATAATTGTAGCTATACCTAGAAACAGAAATGCAATTAGTAAACTGTAGATTATAGGTAAATACACTTATTTTCATGTTGAAAAAATTGTTCCTGTTTCTTACTCATTCAGGATCAATTTATTCTGGTGCAATATACATGTTAAATCTTAGTTTGAACTTATCGGTAGTTTTTCCTTTAGCTTTTAACTTTTTAACCTTTTTCTTTGATTTTTTTCCTGGTAATTGCTGCTGACATACACAGCCACATAGCATGATTTTTGTCAAGGTTGGCTGTTAGATGATAATGCTTGTTATTAAAAGCAAGAGTGAAGAATCTTGCGAGTGTCTCTCATGAATCTACACAACTACGTTGTGTGCTAACATATTTGCTAACTTTTCCATGCTGTAGCATTTCTTCATTGGTTCTAACTTGACATTGCAGACAGTCGCTGTCTCTACCACGCCAGATGATAGCGGGTGGAAGTGCTGGATTGTGCCAGATAGTGGTCACAACTCCAATGGAACTACTTAAAATACAACTGCAAGATGCAGGCAGATCAGGTAAGGTGAAGGTTCCATATAACTGGACTAATCCACTAACTCTAACAGCATAATGCACCAATATGGAACATTGCCTGAGGCCTTAACTAATAAATTCCATTGCATCTTTACACGGAGGCATTCGGTAATAAAAGCCTGCTCCAGGGAATAGAATTAAAACCCTGGACATGACTATATAATTTCATACAGGTTTTATTTTGTTGTATGTTCACGATAACACAGTATAGTATATCAGATATGGCAAAAGTAATGCAGTCTATATTTTCTACAGCACTGATATGTCTATGAAGAGTTTATAGTTTATAACAGTACAGTAGCTGAAGCATATCTTCTATTTGCTGTATAGAGTTCGATTATGCTCCAAACTTTTTTAAAGCTATCGTCTATATGCATGACCCTGCTAAAGTGTTTAACTTATGTTGGTGAGTTCCTACAATTAGTTATCCTCCTTGTTTGTATGGTAAGCAGCTATTTCTAGACATTCGTAATGCATTTCAAACAAGCTCTACGTTATCAGTATTTTCAAGCCCCTGTTACTACAATTTCTCTTGTAGTTAGTCATTGTTAACTTGCCCTATAAAGTCTGGCAGGTTTAATTACTATGAAATTGAATTCATTTGGCATGTAAATGCGAACACACACGTAAATGCACTCCCCTAGTCTGGTTTATTAATAGCATATTGGCCCGTGAAGCTGTGGTGGAAATTTTTGTGACCAAACTGCAGTTGGCCTCTTTTTTGTTAGTTTTTTTTTAGATGAAATGCTGTAGTTCTCTTCAGTATAAAACATTCTTCCATGTAAACAGAGGCATTTGTTCTGCATGTTCTTATAATGTGCAAGAATGAATGTGTCTCAGCTAACTTGAATCAAAAGTTAAGGTTTGCATCACATTTTACCATCATGTGGGCATGTTTGATGGCAGTGAGCTAACCCTAACTTGTTAATCCTGTGAGTTCATAAAATTGTCAATTGTATGTTACCATTTTATAGATAACATAGATTCTGGGGATAACCCATAGTTATGCTGCCATGTGTAGCAATCTGTCACCTTACACTGGAATGAAATATCTTTATGACTACTACAGTGGTTTTTAGTAGACACGGTATGCTTCAGTAGGCTTAGATTGAGTACACTGTTAGGTATTTATGGCATCAGACTGTGACCCACTGTTTGGTAATTGTATACTTCCAGCCCAAAAAGGTAGCCAGCCAGTAGCTAGGAAGTCTGCGCTAACCATTACTATGGAATTATTGAGAACAAAAGGAATCTTTGGTCTCTACAAGGGGATGGCTGCGACCATGCTACGAGACGTTGTCTTCTCTCTAATCTACTTCCCGCTATTTGCCAACCTTAATAAACTAGTAAGTTTCCTGCTGTGCATATGTTTGTGGTTGAGATCGAGAGGCTTGAATACAAACTTGATGTCAGTAATGGCATTGTTTTGGTAGCTCTCTGATACTTGTAATTATTTTCGGTAATGGCAGGGCACTTTATTTGCATGCTGATGCTGTGCTCAGTGCATCAATGCCCTGTAGCCCCTTAAGAGTTTCCCCACGGTAAGAATGGTTAAATTTAAACAATTTGCTATTTCAATAGGTTGGGAGTGAGAGTTATTTTAATGTCCAGGACATATCTGCCTAGGTGGCAGAACTAATCTATATCTATCTATCTACTCTATTATACTTACATCGAATTGGCTATGTATGTTTTAATACAAAAATACCTGTTCAAATAAATCATAACTTACTAATGCATTATTTAATGTGATGGAAATCTATTATTATCTGTAACAGTTATTACAGAGGTGACTTGAGTAATACAACTGTTTCAGGGCCCTCGCAAGTCGGATGGTAGCGGGGAGGCTGTCTTTTACTGGAGCTTCATCTCTGGTTGTGCATCGGGATCGGCAGCAGCTCTTTGTGTTAATCCATTTGATGGTAATGTTACGCCGGAGAACGTTTGTTTAAGCTGTGGATCGTCTCTGTTTTTGGTTCTCTCTCTCTCTCTCTCCCTGTCTCTGTCTCGCTCTCGCTCCCTCTCTCTCTCTCTCTCTCTCTCTTTCTCTTTCTCTCTCTCTCTTTCTCTCTGCCTCTCTCTCTCTCTCTCTCTCTCTCTCTCTCTCTCTCTCTCTCTCCTCCTCTCTCTCTCTCTCTCTCTCTTCTCTCTCTCCTTCTCCTTTCTCTCTGCCTTGCTCTCTCTCTCTCTCTCTCTTTCTGTTTCTTGTTTCTCTCCCACTTTCTCTATCTCCCTCTCTTACACGCATTCACGCATGCACATACTCTCTCTGTAAATGTTCTTTTTAAATAAAGCTGTCATGCATGTAGAGCTTTGTCAGCTTGTATTATGTGCTTGTTAAGTGGTAATCTGTTGAATTACTGTTAAATGTATATACACGCTATTTTACATTTGTAGTTGTGAAGACCAGGTTGCAGACACTTACTACGGCAGCCGGTGATCGCACTTACACTGGAATTCCGGATGCTTTTCGGTAGGTTTTCAGTGGTTTTAAAGTTTCGCGTGGACAGAGTGTGCCATCATAAAAATGCTGAGACGTTTTTTGACAGCTGTGAGTTTATCACGGTTTAAGGGCTCAATGCCACTCTACATCAATACGAAAAGACAATGTAAATCTAAATAACTCGTAAAGGTAATGCGTGTGTGATGCTGATTGTTGTTTATTGCAGGCAAATCCTGAAGTATGAGGGTGTGAAAGCATTCTTCAAGGGAGGTGCCGCCCGTATGATCGTCATAGCACCACTGTTTGGTATCGCACAGATGGTCTACTATTTTGGCGTGGCTGAGAGCATTATGGGGATTGAACAGCATGCAACTGTGTAACACTAGATGGCAGCACTGGGGGGCAAGAAACTGTTGACGCTTTTTACTAGTCTACTAATTAGTTTTCTGTTATTTACACTACGCATCAGCTGTGATGGAGCGGTTGGGAGTATTAGAGGCTCTCTGGTATTACGAATAATAATTGTAGGTTAAGATTATAGATTTCCATCTTCTTCAGATTAGCAGTGAAAATAAAGTGCTTCTCTGTGTGTGACTAGCATTGCAAGAGTGCTTGATAGACTGATGTATGGGTATGTGCGATGCACCAGCCACCGGTTAGGTTAGGCCAAAACAAAATATATGTGTGGTTACTGTTACATGCCGAAAAAAATAGGGTAGGTAGGTAGGGAAAACATTTTATTTTCTTGAAATATTTTATTTACGAACCATGTCTGAAGGATGTGCGTTGTGCCTTTTGAAGCAGGAACTGGAATTCATATTTTTTTAAATTTTAAATTTTTTTACTTTAAAGAAAATTTACTGTAAAATGTTTAGGATCGCTGGGAATAAATAGGGTCGGTCGGGAAACCGTAACCACACCTATATTTTGTTTTGGCCTTACAATACTAGGACCACTTCTTTACATGGTTTGCATCTAGAATGCAGGTGAAATCAACTAGTAGGACCAAATTCGTATCTACAAAATGGATCGTAACGGAGCAATAATATATTTTTCCCTTGAGTCCACATATAATATATATTCTTTCACCTATGTTTTAGCCCATGTGTATTAACCCAACCAGGCTGTGTGACTAACGTCAATATACACGTTAGGTCCCCTAACCCTAGCAAAGACCGTTTCTTGGAGCTACATGTGTATCATCAGTACTGTATGTAAGCTTGTTCAAATAGTCATCCTCTGCTACCATATGCAATGTACGAAATTATGCATATCACTAAGTAGTTTTAGAACCTTATTCAATTATTACTTGTACAAATAATGGAGTATAGACTAAAATTATTGATAAACACTCATTCTAGACATTCTTACATAGCAACATATAGTCAAGAGCGTATTGTGTATGTACTTAATACGCTCTTGATATAGTACATATGCAGTATATAAGATTAACCATATATCGACCCGATAGGTTGAATCAGAATCGAATTCAGAGTTTGGTGCAGTTTTATAGCGCCAGCTTGTTCAATGTACAGTTGCTAGTTATATTGACTGCTTATATGCTCATCACATTAAATTCCTAGAATTTCAAACTGTATTATCACACGTCTATACGGTTGTGTTTGCTATGTAATATGTTGGCTAAGTACACGTTGCTGGGTGCTGTGGGGTGTGAGCAGATACCACCAGTAGAATAGCTGTTATCAGGGGCGTGTACAGGGGGGGGGTCCAGGGGGTCTGGACCCCCCCCCCTGCTCGCGCAGAAAATGCATTTTAGAGGGGTCTAATTACAAAAATTCCCCAGACCCCCCCTTCGCGTGCTCGCAACCTTCAGTTATGGTTAGTCCCCTTCCTGGTAAAAATCCTGTACACGCCCCTGGTTATTGTGCATTAATATGCGAAATATACTTGAATGTTGGCCTGGGGGCCATTGTCAGAAACAAAATTAGTCTAAGCATTAACTTTTTGATGTTTCTGACAATGGCCCCAGCCTTTTGGGGCCTTGTATATTATAATTTGTCTAATATAATACCAGGAGTGACTAAAAACAATGTTTTTTTCCACTCCTGATAATAATAGCTGATTCAAACGCATGCTTCCAAATTTACTGCATTGTATTGTCCATATATGTAATATTCTGGATAGGCTATCTCTACATTTCTATAATATTGTTAGTCATGTGACATAAATTAACATTGTTATGAACTTCTCTCTCAGCAATCACTCTAAGATATGTTAGTGATTGTTCGAGTGAATTAGCTGTTACTAGATGACCAAATAAACCATTAATGTTTATTGGTGCTGAGGATATAGGAGATGTTATTGACTAGTGTAATCGTATTATAGTAGCAATATATCGTAAGCATTGTTGCAGTGTGTGCATTTATTACGGTTGAACCTTGTGAATCTGGCATTCCATAATCTTACAACTTACATAAGCTTATATTATTCCTGGCGCAGTTTTATAGTGGCTCAGCAATATTTCGAGAGGACATTCTTTTTTTTATGAAATCATGATCATCCGTCGTTCCATGTGTCTGAAATATGTAATCGTGTTTCTACACATCGAGAATAAACTTCAATATAAGCTCGGCTTAGGCTTAGGTATGCTGCCGTTAAATTCAGTGTTCTTGGGTTCACGGATTATTGAGGTTTAATTGTTTGCGTAATATGCACGTTAAACAGCCTTGATTTGCGACGTTATTGGAATTTAATTGCTAATACGTAATATAGGCCAACGGAATGCAAGTTTTAAATATATTTTTATGCTAATGTGTGAAGAAAGCGCTTAGCATTTAAAAAGTTTATTTAACACGTTTTTTGTTATATGCCTCTAATGTTTTTTGTGCCGCGAATGTATCCTTGATTGCTCGCCAAACTGGAGGTATGTGATTGCACATGCGTGTATGGGCGTTCGTGCGTGCATGTGCGCGTTCGTACATGCGCGCCGCGTATGTGTGTGCATACGTATAAATATTCATGTGTGTTTAAAAGACGTGCTATGAAACGATTGCTGCTGAGATGAAGTGCCATTCCCGTGATTTCTAGCCACACGTTTTATGTATGTACGTTTACTGCTGTGTTTCCTTACGACGGCTCGTTCAAAATGCATCTACCAGATCTACCAGATGCAACATGTAGGTTACAGCTCTATACGTATACATACACACGGTGAATACTGTCACGATGGTTTAATATTTCAGTGATTCTACCTCGTAGAAGTCTAGGTGGTGCTATCTAAAAAAAAAAGTGCTTCAAATGTACATTTAGTGAACAGAAAACTCAATATCGCAGAGTGTATGTAGAGTGCTTCCGTGTCTTTGCATGGTTTGTTGGCGCAGTATTAAATGTATGCGCTTTTTACTTGTACACAACTTATGACTCAAGGGGGGGGGGTGAACTTGCGTCATCTTATATTTAAATAAATAGGACCAGGTGGTGTGTACAGCGAAGTATCTGGGTTTTAAAAAAAGTTGCATTTTAAATGTTTAATGTATTCGCGTATAGGTAAATTCCATGCCATGCTGAACACGTCGTTCGAAACGTGAAAATAGGCTATGGCTAACCAGTCGACGCCGCATCAGCGGGGCCACAAAGACAAGACGCTCATGGCGAACTTGTTGGGGGTGTTAATTTCGCGAGCTCTGTACGTCGTGAATGGTTAGAGAACATTCTGCTTTCATTGACCAGTGGTATAATCACAGTCGTACTGCGCACGTACCAGTGCAATGTCTACGTCTTGAGTGTAACTTCTGAGATGTACTATATTGCGATTGTGTACCAATTGTCATCAATAAAAGAACAGGTTAAGCCGTGATGATGTGATATATAATGACTTCCGTGAATTCTCGATCGTGAATCTGGTCACCGTAGGTTATAGATGCTGCTCGCTATGTCTTTCATAATCGATAAGTTTCTTTCGCACTCTATAGGTAGTGTAACTGTTTTGAGTGTTTTTGCCCTTCAATGCTTTCTAACTAAACATGCATTCTAGTCGGCATTTAGATTGCCGTAAACTCTTCATGTGGTCTATATTTAGGGTGGAATTGTCGTATAAAAGAACCCTGTTGTAGCGCTCCAGGCAAGAACGCGTAATTAGATGCAACGCCATCGTCACTTGCATCCCGTTTCTTCTGCTTTAATTTCTCTCGGGAATGGGTGGGAGGGAGAGATGAAGAGGGCGATATAGGGTGGGCGCCGGGCGGGAATCGTTTATTCACTTTCATTTTCCATTGAATCACTCATACATGCGTCATAACGACTACACTTCTTCCAAACGCAATTTCGGAGAACAAAATCTTCTTTTGCACATTGCGCGGAATTGTTGCCAGAATACGGTTTCCAAACAGTCTAGCCACGGAACAATTAAGCCTCTGCTTTTCGTGAGTTTGTGTGCAGTGGCATGCACGCGGTGACATTGTATGTTGCAGGGAAACACTTGGATGGAATTTACGGGGAGTTATTATAGGCTACAGGGAGCAGTGGCCGCTGAGTGGCGACACCATTGTAAAAGTGTGGGGGTGCAAAATGAGCCGGCCCTACGGCCCCCTGTTGGAGTCCAGGGGGCGAAGCCCCCGGAAGCTCTGAGTTTTTAGCATTTTTGAGGTGAAAAATCAAGCCTCTGTATGCCTTTAAACAGAGAAATAAACAGCCAGGGCTGCCAACATTGGATGATAGGTGAGAGTGAGATGCGAGGGAGTGAAGCGACCGTGCGGGGGGTGGGTGTGGGAGGTAGGGAGCTTTTGCATTTTATAACTTCAATTTGTGCAATTTGGTGCATACTAAAGTGACTGTTTTCAGATATTGTAAGATTTTTTTTGCTGTGCGTGAGATATTTCAGCGTTTTATTCATGAAGAGATATTCATGCGTGAGATATCTCAGCATTTTTTTTGCTGTGCGTGAGATATTGTAAGATCAGCGTGAGAGCGTGAGATTTGGTCAAAATGCGTAAGTCTCACGGTCAATGCGTGAGAGTTGGCAGCCATGAAACACGCTTGTAGAGCACTTCTGATCCATATCCAAACTTCTAATTTTACTGTGGTGCGCTAGTGTTGTAAATAAATGATATCCACGAAAATTTCTGGGAAAATAAAGGGGAAAATCGTAGTGGCGGAAATAGAATAAGAAAGCGGAAATTTTCCGCAAAAAAAATCAGAAAGGTTGGGAGGTCTGCCACTCAATAACAATTCAAATTACATAGACTAGGTTTAAACCCCAAAGATTGAAAGGCAACATTTTGGGCCTATAGAGTAAAATTAATATTGTCATTGCTCCTGTGCTGTGGGTTACAGCCCTATAGACCGAAGGTTATGTGTTCAAGGTGTAAAGATGCATTTTCGAATACGCACTACGCAGTGGCTACGCGTCCGGAACCGGTCGCCTAGCCTCCAGGCTACGCATCCGGACATCCACTCACACAGTGATC